AGGCCTTTGACACGGGTGGTGCTGTAGCTGCCTTAATGAGGTTTTTGATAGGATGGCCTCTGTTGAGATGGGGGTGGTGTGAGAAGGACCTTACGCGGCCCATGTCCCTAGTGTCCCCTGCATATTATCTTGGCATGGGGAAGTTTTTTAGGGACCACTCTCTGGGTGAGTTGGGGCAGGAGGCGGGGAAGAAAGAGAGTCTTTGGAGATGGTTGAGGAGGGCAGAGCTATTAACTAACATCAGGGGCTTGGGCTCGAAACAGACGGAAGATTGCTGGAGGAATATGGGAATGGTAGGGGTGACAAATAAACAGAAGGAAGTTGTATGGATGTCGTTGCATAATGTCTTGCTTACAATGGATTTCCTGAAAGGGAGAGATTTGGTGAGGAGTGAGAGGTGTCCAAGAGAAGGTTGTGGGGGAGTTGAGAATGTCAGGCACGTTTTTTGGGATTGTGGCTTTGCAAAGGAAGTGTGGAGGAGGTTGGGTGGATTTGTGCATAAGGTGGTGGGTGTTCAGAATATTACTTTTGAAGCTGGAGTGTTTGGACTAGTGGAAGGAGGGAAGGTGGTACAAAGGCGGGCGTATGTGTTTTCGGCTATTTTTAGAGAGGTGATGTGGGAGGCCCGGTGTGCTTTGCAAAAGGGGAAGTTGGATCTGTCGGAAAGTGATTGTGTTGACTGGTGTTTTTTTGCTAAATTGTACTTTATGCTAGTGGTGGAAAGAAAGCGGATGGGGAGAGGATGGTGCGAATGCGTTATGGAGGTATAGGAGGTGGTGCGTTATGGAGGGAGGTGGTGGGAGGGGAGGCGGGAGCCTCCCTGAGAAATTGGGGTCTTTTAGCTTTTGTATTTGCCTTTTACTGTCCTAGATGATGCAAGGAACACAGCTCAGTTAAGTTCTTGTTTTTGACAGTTACTGCTGAGTAGTTGTGATTCAGTCTGATGGGAAAAAAAAAAAAAAAAAAAAAAAAAAAAAAAACTTCTGATCTGGATTGTTTTGACCTTGTTGCCTTCTCCCGTCCTGACCCCTTGGCTTGCCTGACTCTGCTCCTGGATGTTCCCGTTTAGATCTGACCTCCTGGTATTGACCCTGCGTGTGACCCGACTATCCTTTGCCTACCGTTTTGTACCTTACCGATCCTCTAGTTGCCGACCCTGCCTGCATGACTCTGATTTAGCTCATCCATCCATCCCCCACCCCGCAGGGATCACTAGGCTCCCTTACATCAGACTCCTAGCTCTCTGGAGCCCCTGTCAGACTCCTCTACCCCTGTTGGAGATACCTGGTAGTTGCGACCTGGTACCGGAGCGCTCCAAGTCCATCCCCACCATCAGGGGCCCTGGTGAACAAGTGCTCCGGTGCTTAGACTCCGCACTCTGGGGAGGCTCTACCAGGGGACTGATAGAGGTGCTGTCAGGAGAACAGTCTCCTAAGTCTATCCATCACCAGAACAGTCTCCTTCCAGGTCCATCCATACCTGTCACTCAAAACAGTTTTCTCTCCACTTTCCATGTCCATCACCCAGAACAATCTCGCTCTATGTCCATCTGAACCTATCACCCAAAGTAGTTCAAATATCCATTACCCAAAACAACCTCCTGTTAGGTCCTTCCATACCCATCACACAGAACAGTCTCCTAAGTCCATCCATACCTGTCACCCAGAATAGTTTTTCTCTCTAGGTCTATCCACACCAAGAAGTCTACCTCCTGGTCTCTGCATACTCATCATCCAGACCAATATATTTCCAGGTTCATACCCATCATTCAGAACAGTCTCCCTTTAGGTCCATCCATGCCCATCATTCAGAACATTTTCACCCCCAGTCCATTCATACCCATCATCCAGAACACTCACCCTCTAGGCCCATCCATACCTGCCATACTCATAAACCAACACACTCTCCCTTTAGGTGCAGCCATGCCCATCACTCATATATTTCCTCCAGATTCATCCATGCCTGTCACCCAAAACAGTCTCCCGCCAGGTCTTTCCATGCTTATAACAAATATGATCTCCCTCCAGGTCCATCCATACAGAACAATCTCCTTCCAGGCCCATTTGAACTCCCCCCCCCCCCCCCCCCCCCATTCTGCCTACTATGTGTAAAAGCTCATTACAGCAATAGGATACTGGTTACCAGAACAGTCTCCCTGCATGTCCACATCTGTCACCTAGAGCAGTCTCCTTCTAGATCCATCTAAACATTTCACCACATCAGTTTCCTCCAGGATTATCCATGCTCACCACCCATAACACCCTCCCTAAAGATTTATACTCATCGCTCAGAAAAATCACCTTCTAGGTCCATCCATATCTATCACTAGAAAAGTCTCCCTACAGATCCATCAATACAGGTCATCAAGAACACTCTCCCGCCTTGTCTATACTCGTCACCAGACTAGTCTCCCTCCAGGTTCATACCACCACTGAGAACAGTCTAATTCCAGGGCCATTCACACCCACCAATGAGAACAGTCTACCTCCAGGTCCATCAATACCCACCAGAAGGAAAAGTCTCCCTCCAGGTCCATCCATACCCACCACAGAGAACAGTCTCCTTCCAGTTCCTTCCATACTCACCACCGAGAATAGTCTACCTCCGGGTCCATCCATACCCACCAGAAGGAAAAGTCTCCCAGTTCCATCCATACCCAGCACCGAGAACAGTCTCCCTCCGGTTCCTTCCATACCCAGCACCGAGAACAGTCTCCCTCCGGTTCCTTCCATACCCAGCACCGAGAACAGTCTCCCTCCGGTTCCTTCCATACCCAGCACCGAGAACAGTCTCCCTCCGGTTCCTTCCATACCCAGCACCGAGAACAGTCTCCCTCCTGTTCCTTCCATACCCAGCACCGAGAACAGTCTCCCTCCGGTTCCTTCCATACCCAGCACCGAGAACAGTCTCCCTCCGGTTCCTTCCATATACCCAGCACCGAGAACAGTCTCCCTCCGGTTCCTTCCATACCCAGCACCGAGAACAGTCTCCCTCCTGTTCCTTCCATACCCAGCACCGAGAACAGTCTCCCTCCGGTTCCTTCCATACCCAGCACCGAGAACAGTCTCCCTCCTGTTCCTTCCATACCCAGCACCGAGAACAGTCTCCCTCCTGTTCCTTCCATACCCAGCACAGAGAACACTTTGCCTCCAGGTCCATTCATACCCAGCACCCAGAACAGTCTCCCTCCAGTTCCTTCCATACCCAGCACCGAGAACAGTCTCCCTCCAGTTCCTTCCATACCCAGCACCGAGAACAGTCTCCCTCCAGTTCCTTCCATACCCAGCACCGAGAAACAGCCTCCCTCCAGTTCCTTCCATACCCAGCACCGAGAACAGCCTCCCTCCAGTTCCTTCCATACCCAGCACCGAGAACAGTCTCCCTCCAGTTCCTTCCATACCCAGCACCCAGAACAGTCTCCCTCCAGTTCCTTCCATACCCAGCACCGAGAACAGTCTCCTTCCAGTTCCTTCCATACTCACCACCGAGAATAGTCTACCTCCGGGTCCATCCATACCCACCAGAAGGAAAAGTCTCCCAGTTCCATCCATACCCAGCACCGAGAACAGTCTCCCTCCGGTTCCTTCCATACCCAGCACCGAGAACAGTCTCCCTCCGGTTCCTTCCATACCCAGCACCGAGAACAGTCTCCCTCCGGTTCCTTCCATACCCAGCACCGAGAACAGTCTCCCTCCGGTTCCTTCCATACCCAGCACCGAGAACAGTCTCCCTCCGGTTCCTTCCATACCCAGCACCGAGAACAGTCTCCCTCCGGTTCCTTCCATACCCAGCACCGAGAACAGTCTCCCTCCGGTTCCTTCCATACCCAGCACCGAGAACAGTCTCCCTCCGGTTCCTTCCATACCCAGCACCGAGAACAGTCTCCCTCCGGTTCCTTCCATACCCAGCACCGAGAACAGTCTCCCTCCGGTTCCTTCCATACCCAGCACCGAGAACAGTCTCCCTCCGGTTCCTTCCATACCCAGCACCGAGAACAGTCTCCCTCCGGTTCCTTCCATACCCAGCACCGAGAACAGTCTCCCTCCGGTTCCTTCCATACCCAGCACCGAGAACAGTCTCCCTCCTGTTCCTTCCATACCCAGCACCGAGAACAGTCTCCCTCCTGTTCCTTCCATACCCAGCACCGAGAACAGTCTCCCTCCTGTTCCTTCCATACCCAGCACCGAGAACAGTCTCCCTCCTGTTCCTTCCATACCCAGCACCTAGAACAGTCTCCCTCCTGTTCCATCCATACCCAGCACCGAGAACAGTCTCCCTCCTGTTCCATCCATACCCAGCACCGAGAACAGTCTCCCTCCTGTTCCTTCCATACCCAGCACCGAGAACAGTCTCCCTCCTGTTCCTTCCATACCCAGCACCGAGAACAGTCTCCCTCCTGTTCCTTCCATACCCAGCACAGAGAACACTTTGCCTCCAGGTCCATTCATACCCAGCACCGAGAACAGTCTCCCTCCAGTTCCTTCCATACCCAGCACCGAGAACAGTCTCCCCTCCAGTTCCTTCCATACCCAGCACCGAGAACAGTCTCCCTCCAGTTCCTTCCATACCCAGCACCGAGAACAGTCTCCCTCCAGTTCCTTCCATACCCAGCACCGAGAACAGTCTCCCTCCAGTTCCTTCCATACCCAGCACCGAGAACAGTCTCCCTCCAGTTCCTTCCATACCCAGCACCGAGAACAGTCTCCCTCCAGTTCCTTCCATACCCACCAACAGTCTCCCTCCTAATGAATCTTCCATCCAATGCTGGTGGCTGTCATTGCCCAACAAATCCCAGATCATTGCAAGATCTGAAGAATGACATCACTGTGCACATGCTGCTGAGGACACAGACATGTACGACCTAAGAACAAGCAGGACCTGGATGGAAGCCGTGGCTCTGACACCGAACAGCCGCCTCGCTCTCTTTATAACCGTCTCCTCAATCACTCTACAGGAAGAGATCAATATGTGGGATTGCAGTGTACTCTGACAGCACTCACCGGCCTCCATAATAAACCTCGTCACCTTAAAGTGAGTCTTCACAGCCTTGTCTTTGTCGGAGGCTGCAGCAGAACACGCCTCAACGTCCATCGTGCCGAGAACCCTAATAAAGAGACAAGAAGGAGAACAATGGAGTGAAGTATAAATATTACATGTGGAATCATTGGCCTCATGTTAAAGTGGTTGTAAACCTCAGACATGAAATATGAACAAAGCACCTCCCTCTATAGTGTGTCTCAGTCCAGGGCACTAAGTGTCACTTCTGTCGGCTGCCTCCTTTCTCTGTCAGCATGAACCACTTCTGACAAGTATTCCTGAGCAGTGGCAGACTGACCATTTGGAAACTCGGGCACTGCCCGAGGGCCCGGGGTCAGTAGAGGGCCCCATAAGATGCCCCTGGTACCTTTTTCATAGGCTTTTTTGAGTTTGGGCAAGGACACAGGGGCCCCATGATCCCCTATTGCCTGGGGGCCCCATGAGTTGTCAGTCCGCCCCTGTTCCTGACACCAAGAGAACAATGGTGACAAGGGAGGGACCTTCAACAGATTGACAGCCTTAGCTCTGTCCCTGTATGCTGTAAGGAGGGGGGGCGTGTCCCTTCCCTCCAATCAGCTCTCTGCAGAGTGTAACTTCAGCTCTCCGCCTCCATTTTTCTGAATTCTCATACAAGCTTTATAAATTCAGCACTTTGAACAGATGTAGAGCAGAGAATACTGCAGATGAACAGGTACAACTTATGTAGGAGGATTTGTTTCAATTGCAGTGTATCACCTGAGGTCAGTCACCTCACTGGGGATACGGAGGGTATACATCAACTTTATCACAAAACAGCGGGGTAAGATGGATCCCCAGACTGACAGCCGGCAGAAATATGTCCCATTCCCAGCCTCCTCTACATGTCCTGTGTCTAAAACATCGGCATTCACTCACATGATCCTGGTGAAGGAGAGTGATAAAAGGCAGTCTGGTCCCTGGTAAAGGGGAGGGCCAATCACAAGCATGTAGTCACATGATCCCTGATAAAGGGGAGGGACATCCATAGGCATTCAGTCACATGATCCTGATAAAGGGGAGGGCCAACCATGGGAATTTAGTCACATTATCCCACATAAAGGGGAGGGCCAATAACAGGCATGTAGTCACATGACCCCAGATAAAGGGGAGGGCCAATCACAGGCATGGAGTCGCATGACCCCCGATAAAGGGAAGGGCCAATCACAGTGATGTAATCGCATGACCCCTTATAAAAGGGGAGGGCCAATCACAGGCATGTAGCCGCATGACCCCCGATAAAAGGGGAGGGCCAATCACAGTCATGTAATCGCATGACCCCCGATAAAGGGGAGGGCCAATCAGTCATGTAATCGCATGACCCCCGATAAAAGGGGAGGGCCAATCACAGGCATGTAGTCGCATGACCCCCGATAAAGGGGAGGGCCAATCACAGGCATGTAGTCGCATGACCCCCGATAAAGGGGAGGGAAAACCATAGTCATGTAGTCGCATGACCCCCGATAAAAGGGGAGGGCCGATCACAGGCATGTAGTCGCATGAGTCGCCCCCGATAAAGGGGAGGGCCAATCACAGGCATGTAGTCGCATGACCCCCGATAAAGGGGAGGGCCAATCACAGGCATTTAGGGCCTGTTCACACAATAGGAATGCAGTCCAGATGCGTTCTGGATGCATTTTTCACGTGTTTTTGACGTGTTGCGGTGTGTTTTTGCTGCATTCCAGTTAATTTTTTCCCTGTCTCTTTTTCTTCAATTTAAATAGGGACAGCTGTGCATTTTTGGTGCGTTATGTGTTCCAGTACAGTTCTGTGCAGGAATAATGCAGCCTGTTCTACTTGTTTTTTTATGCATCTGGAACTACAAGCACTGGTGTGAACTGACACTGACACCCTTATCACCTACTTTCTGTGCATTTTGGATGCAGAAACAAAGCGACTGAAACGCATGGAGTGTGAACTGACCCTTAGTCACATGATCCCTGATAAAGAGGGTCAACCAAAGGCATTCAGTCACATGACCCCTGGTAAAGGGAAGGGCCAGTCACAGGCATGTAGTCGCATGATCCCCGATAAAGCAAAGGGCCAATCACAGGTGAGTAGAGGTGGGTCTTCCTAAAGCCACACCCCGGTCAGATATAAAGACGTGAACATTCCAGCTCTGCAACTGTTTATTCATTTATTGATCACAGATATGTCAATTATTAACCCTTCAGTGCCAATTATTAACCCTTCAGTGCCAGAGACATTTTTGTGTTTTTTTTTTTTGCAGCATTTTAGGCCAGAATATTAGTTAACAGTAGTCAGAAGAAGACGAGAGGAGCAATGATGTGTAAGAAAGAGGAGCTGGGCCAGCACAGACACTCCCAAAAAAGAAGAGGGCTATCATGTGTAAGGAGGGAGGAGCTGGGCCAGCACAGACAGTAATTAGGCACTTGCAGAAGAGGAGAGGTCTTGGACATAAAGGGGAAAGGAGCTGGGTTAGCACAGGCAATATTTGGACACTCTCAGAAAAAAAAGAGAGCTATGATATGGAAGGAGGAAGGAGCTGGGCCAGCACAGTGAATCCTATCAAAAAGGCCAGCGCTCACAATAATTAGACACTTTAAGATGAGGAGCTAAGGCCTGGAAGGGAGAGGGAGGGGCTGGGGCAGCATGGACAGCAGACACTCCCATAAAACACAAATTGCCCTGCAGTGCAAGGACAGAGGAGCTGGGCCAGCACAAACCATAACTAGAGACAATCAAAGAAGAGGAGAGGGCTATGAGGTGAAAGAAGGGAGGAGCTGGGTCAGTACAGACAGTAATTAGGCACTTCCAGAAAAGCAAAAGGGCTAAGACATGGAGGGAGGAGCTGGGCCAGTATAGGCAATATTTAGTCTCTCCCAAAACAGCATAGGTCTATGATGGAGGGGCGAAGGGGAGCTGGGCCAGCACAGATATTGGAAACACCCAGAAAAGGAGTTAGGTCAGCACTTGCAGAAGAGCAGAGGGCTATAACAAACAAGAACAGAGAAGCTGGGCCAACACAGACAACTGACACTCGTGGAAGAGGAGAGGGCTTTGACATTAAAGAGAGGAGCTGGGCCAGCAAAGGCAGTATACACTTCCAGAAAGGCAGAGGGCTGTGTACAGTAAGGAGGAGGAGCTGGGCCAGCACTAGCATTCCAAGACAAGGGCTATGATAACACAGGAGGAGCTGGGCCAGCACAGGCGAGCAGATGACTATGATAGACTGCACATTGCCAGTAAAAATCCAGAACAAAGCCTCATCAGTGTAGAGACAGCCCCGCCCACACCGCTCCCAGCATGCCCTGCGAGTGTACCCAGACGTGCGGGGAATGCTGGGAGATGTAGTCCTATACAGCATGCACACCGTGATAGTCCGGGTACCTGAAAGCCAGAGCGGCCTCTTCCGTGTCCTCAAACCGCGGACTGACTTCTACCCTGCATCGTACAGACCAGGAACACCCACTACAGGCCCGCCCACACCAATCAGGGAACCCCGCAGACCCGCCTACACCAATCAGGAAAACACCTAGAACCACGCCCACACCAAGCAGGGAATACCATCTAGAACCGCGCCCACACCAAGCAGGGAATACCACCTAGAGCCCCGCCTACACTAGCGAGGGAACACCACCTAGAAACCCGCCCACACCAACAAGGAAGTTCACCGGGAACAGCATCAACCCAGCCCCGCCCACACCAGTCGCCTACAGCTGCCCATCTCCCACTAAGTACACTGCGGCTGCTCGGGATGAGAGGGTCTGATTAGATGGTTGATCAGCTATGAGGGCTCTGATTGGTTGGTTGATCAGAGAGGCATTTTAGAAGCTAAGGCAAAGCTAAATGTGAGGAGGAAGCATGGAAGCCGCCATGTTTGACTTCCCGCTCTGTACTTGGGCTGGCAAAATCTTGGAGCAGACTTTGCTTACAAATACATGGGCTGCTTACCGTGCGGCCCTCCTTACAAATAAAAACAATAGAAAAATGTAACAAATGTGGAAAATTAAAAATAAAAGTGGAAAAAAAACTTAAAATGTGAAAAAAAAATTAAAATGAAAAAAACAAAAATGGTGCGTTGTAAGACGCAATATGCTTTTTTTAAATGCGTTTTTCTGGCTCAGTCACCTGTGACCCAAAAAACCGCACTTAAGGCCTCATTCACACCTGAGCGTTTTATAGCTCGAAGCTCCAAAACGCTTCAGGAGAAAAAAATTATTATTCCCAACGGAGACGGTTCGCATCTCCACTCCAAACGCCTGAGTCAAACAAGTTTTGGAGCTTTTTTTGTAGCTCGAATTGGACAGATTTGCGTGTTTTTGCCGCATTTTTATTCCTATAGAAATGAATAGGAACACACGATTGCCGCGTTTTTCCGCGCTTTTTTTTTTGCACAATTTTCTGCTCAAATTAAAAAATGTTAAACCAAAAAGGTAATAATATATTAATAAATAAATGTAAAATAAATACAGAAATAAAAAAAAAATCATGATAAATAATGAATAAAAATTAACCCCTACCCAGGGGTAGACTGACCATGTGGGAAACTCGGGCACTGCCCAAGGGCCCGGGGTCAGTAGGGGGCCCCATGAGATGCCCCTGGTACCTTTCTCATAGGCTTTTTCAAGTTTGGGCAAGGACACTGGGGCCCCATGATCCCCTATTGCCCGAGGGCCCCATGAGTTGTCAGTCCGCCCCTGCCCCTACCTTAACCCCCTAACCCTTAAAAAAATATATATATTAATAATAAAACATCCAAACCCGAACAAAAAATATAATAATAACTGAATACAGAAACAAAAATATTCATAAATAAATACTATGTAATAATAAATAATAATTAACCCTAACCCCCTAACCCTTAAAAAGTAATAATAACAAAAAATTGTTATTATTATTTTATTACTTTTTTTAAGGGTTAGGGGGTTAAGGTTAATTATTATTACATATTATTTATTTATGATTATATTTATTTGTGTATTTATTTTACATTTATTCATGTATTATTGTGTTTTTTGTTCGGGTTTGGGTGTTTATTATTATTATTTAATATATATATTTTAAGGGTTAGGGGG